TCATGGCTCCACTTAAAATGAAAACAACAATAAGACATACGTGCTACTATTGGCCCACAGAGGGCCATGTCTTTCCAGCTTGACCCTATCTGTGTCTCTGTCTGTATCTGTGCGCTCATGGAGCCTCCTGCATCTCCCCCCTTTCTTCTTGACCCTCTTCTATCCCAGGTGTAAAATCCTTATCTCTCTCATCATCTGAGAGCTCAACATCTGAATCTCCCTGAACTATCTGGTACAGAAAATGTCTGCTTCAGTTCCGTCTCCTGCAACAATATTGAGTCATTAAGTCCATGAAGATGGTCCTGACGTCCACTAGAATGGACATTTATAAAAGAGCTGTTATTTGAAAACTTGAATTATTTAATTGCTTTCAGAACTAATTATATAGTTCCTCACATGTTAATAAACAAGAACATATATGATTTTCATGGTAAAAATTACAATTATTCAACAATATTTGACTTCTCCTCATGCTTCTATAAAATGTTGTTTTTGGTATGCCATCCATTTTGGATGAAAATAAAGAGGAACTTCCCAGCATGCAATTTTAACCAATGACATATCACTGGAAAGCCCAGGATGCCCTCTGTACAGTACATCAGGGATTGATAGATAACCTCAAAAGAGTAAAAGGAGATGCATGTTAACAAAATGTCCCCAATTGTAAATGGGCTGGGTCCCAGGAGGATATAGATTCAAATAAATTCGAATTCCTTAAAATTTCCTACAGCTCCTTACACCTGTAGTTTTAAATTGTAGTTTTAAAGCAGTAATAATTTATTTGATTTAATACCACATTTTAACGTTTTTCAATCACTTTAAATGAGACTTGAAATATGAAAGAACACAACAAAAGGTGCAACATGCTTCTCTTTATTACTGCTATAATTCAACTCTGGTTTGAAGAAAAGGTTATTTACTCCATGATAGTTATTGGTCTTTGCATTCGGCAAAGTAGTGTACTGCGGTCTCATTGTCGCACTCGGGCTGGAAGATGAGCTTCACCCTGCAAAACATCAGAACAGATCCACACATGTTGGTTTTGTTAGGTCATTTGTATGATGAAATGGTAATGTATTGCATTTAAAAAGGTAGAATACATACAACACAAAGACTGTATAAAGATATTACTCACATTCTCCAAAGCTTAGGTTTGTGCCCCATCGCGAAACCACCATTACTGTGGAAATATTCACATCGTCATTCACAGAACTTTCATTAGGATTTTGCAGCATGCTTAAAAAAGGGCTTGCTTTCGTGATGAATCCTTTAATTTCAGGTTCCCTCAGAAACCTCAGATATATGTGCAGAGTTTGACTGCAGAAATTTTTTTCTTTATTCAACTGCTGACCAAAGTATAACCTTTTTTAGCTTTTTTTTAGCTAGGTAGTTAAAGTCATTGTTGGGGTTCAAGTCCCCTCGTAGGTGGTTAAAGTCATTGTTGGGGTTGAAGTCCCCTACGTGTGCCGTTTTGGTCTCAAGACCCTGGTTCGCGGAGGATACCAAAAAAGTCCTAGAAAGACAAATTAAACTTAACTAACGTGCATTTAAAAATAAAAAAGAGGAATAGTTTCAGTGAATACTAAAAGGTACCACCGGGTCAGATTAGAATGTTCTAAAGGGGGGTTCGTTTGAAACACTTGAAATAACTAAAGCAAAAGTTAAACAAGAAAGTAGAAAGAAAGGGAGGTGATAGAAAACTATTTATGCTAAAAAGTGAGCAATGATTGAGAGTTAGATCTAAACATTTCAGATGTGTGTATCCCACACTGCACTGTCACTTTCAGTATCTTTGCTTTTAAAGTGTTTTTAAATGTCATTTTAATATCTGTCATTGTTGTAAAGCACTTTGAATTGCCTTGTGTTGAAATGTGCTGTATAAATAAACTTGCCTTGCCTAGAAGTAAAAGTCCCACATCAAACTAAAAGTAAGTAAGTATTTTCAGAAAAATGTACTCAAACTGTGAAAAGTAAAAGTGATATATGATGTTTTGGATCAAGATTACTGCTGCTTTAATGTGTCAGCAGTATTTTACTGTTAACTCGTGGAAATGAAGGCAATGAAGAGCTGTACATTATAAAATAACTTAAGCTGTCTGTTTCTTTACGTTTGTGTTTTTATGTCTTAGAACATGTCGGGATCTTTAAGAAACACAGCCGACTGTCTCGGTGTAAAACATTTTCTCACCTTATTTTAAAAGAAAGAAAGTGAATGATTTTATAAATGCATGTTAATATGTCACATTTAACAAAAGTGTTATAAATTATCCTGGAGGTCATTGCACAATAAAGTCAGCATTAAATAACATAATAAACCTTTTAAAAAGATAAGTAACTGTACACAGGTTATCTGATAGTTCGATGTGAACGCTGTGATTTAACTGTGAAGACATTTTAAAATGAGCTCACATGATTTTGCTGATGATGTTCAACACGCAGCCAATGTCATCTTCAATGTCGTCATCCACCAAGGCTGGAAAGGAAACATATTTACTGCTTTAAAAAGATGTTGGAAATGTTTTAACTATAGTTTAGAAATGTTGTGCTTTTCTAGAAGAGAGAAGAAGACATTTAGAGTGAGCTGTTGTTACTGTCCATTTTTCAGAACTGCCACATCTCACACACATTTCACACACTTACTGGAATGCACCTACATTTAGTAAAGTATTATCCTTTACGTAATAGAGTGGTGCAGTGACGAGTCCTAAAACCCGGAAGTGAGTTAGCATTTTACCACTTCCTGTTCCCTCGTCTCAGAGCCAATGGGATCTCTCCATAGGAGTTTGGAGAATATCTGAAATAAGGTCTGTGGTTGAGACACATTGAAGAGACGGATAACGTTTTGTTCTACGACATTAAATCCATCAGCAGTGACCCCACTGGTGATTTCTGAAGAGTTGACGTGTCTGAAAAACGATGGTTGTTACCAAGTGGCTGAATAGGACTACAGAAGTTGTGGAGGACGTTGTACGTCATTACGCCGAACACGTAAACACTCCTCTGAGTTAGTTTGCCCTGTTCTGCTTGAAAGCAAGTACCTGCCTCCTGCAAACTGTTCAAACAAACGCTTCAACTTGTACCATTTAGAATCTGTAGTTTTGAATATCGATGTTAAGTTGGCGTGACGTTGAAGTCGTGCTGCTGTACTGGGCTGTAGTTCGTTTATAGCATAACGTTAGCATTTTGCTTCTGGCGATTAGATTTATGATTTTAAAATTATAAAACTAGGGTAGACATGTGGAGATTATCCGGCTGAACAAAACGTGCATTTATCAAACAGGTAAGTTTTCCACAGACCTTATTTCGAGCTATTTTTCAAATTCCTTTGGAGAAATCCTGTT